CACCCTGTCTTCCGTGTGTGTGTGTGTGTGTGTGTTCCTTTCATTCAGTTCAGCAAATCCTTACTGGGTATCTTCTATGCAAAGAAAGAAGCAACCATAGTATTATTATCCTTTGAGAAGTTTTAGTTGATTGGGGAAAGAGACACAGGTACCTAGACACCTAAAAGACAAGATGAGGAATGGAAGGAAGGTATGGGAAGCGTGGAAGAAACCCCAGGCTAGCAAGGATTACATATTTTATTAATACGTTCTTCCTTCGTGGATCTTATCAAAAGCAGTAGCAGGCTTCCCATTTAGTTTCTCGGGAAGGCTTTGTTGCTGTCTGGCTGCAGCAGATAGAGGTGGGGAGCTGCAGCCGCGGAGCAGAGGTGGCTGCAGCATTTGGTCTGCGCACTGAGGCCGGGCCTGGCAGAGTTGTGTTCCATACACGCCAGGCACAGCTGCTAATAAGGGTGAGCGAGCGGGTGCTAGGAACACCCAAATTGGGTGATCCTCAGAGCAGATACTGGCCTGGTTCGCCTGACCTCTCCTCCTGTGGAGGCGAAGGTCGTATTTCACTGGTGTTCTCTCTCCTGGCACCTTGATTCACATACTCTTCATGATCACATCGGATTACTTTCTGCGCCTATTTCTGATTTACATTATAATCACACACTTACACATTGTCATGCACCGGGCCTTACAAGGGGTTAATTACTGATCTGGCTGTGAGGCTGCATGAGAACTTGTGTCTGTTTCATGCTTAGAGCATGTGATTAGGCATCTAACCCCTCCAGTCGCAAGCTAGCATGACTGCTCAGCAAGCGAAAGTCAGCGTCTGGACCGGAACGAGGCAGAGGACTTTCTCTGCCTCCGTTTTCCCTGTGAAGACAGTTACACAGAGGTGAGCATTTGCTGTGTGGCGATTTGGGGACAAATGCATCTATTAAAGTGCAATTTTCAAAATTACCTCTTTGAGTACAACTATAATGTAGTAAAATAGAAACACTCCCTTTCTTTCAAGTAAGTGAAAAAATGCTTTTCACTGAAGGAATCACTTTGCTAGTAGGAGTACTTGTTCAAAGCTGTGTGCTGTGACTGCTTCAAGCATTTCAGGAGCCCTTGTCTTAGAAGCTCTTCAGACGGTGATGACAGCAGGTTTGGAGCACCTGCTCTTCCCGGTCCATTAGTACACGGAGTGCTCAGCATCCCTGGAAGGCAGGCGAGATGTCGGTCCCTATTTAGAACCTTGCAGTACAGCCACGTCACGTTCTCTTCATGACTAAAGAAGAAGGGCATTACCCTAGAAGAGCACTTCCAGTCTTGACATGGAGACATCTGACCTTTTTTTAAAAACTGATTTTAGAGAGAGAGGAAGGGAGGGGGGGAGAGGGAGAAACCTCAATTGGCTGCCCCCCGACCGGAGGAGGCTACCAGAGAGTCTTGCCCAGAGCAGGCTCTCCAGACCCGCTAGCTCTGGTCACCCTCCCCTCTGAGTGTGCTTCTCAGAGGGGACCCCTGGAAGGGTGTCACTGCAGGTGCCGCAGCCTGGCAGTTGAGGGAGTGGCGCTTTGCTGCACAGTGAGACCTGTGCTGTTTCTGGAGGGAGTCCTGTTAGAGTGAACGACAGTGTCCCTGGGCACTCTTAAACACAGAGCTCTTACAAGTGCATTTTTCTTGGCTTCCTTTTGCCAGTGGGCAAATACCAGAGTGTAAAAGGAGACGTGTCACCCGGACTTAACTGACTGGGGCTGTCAAACGAGGATGTGTTTAATAACCTTTAAAAGTACATTTGCGAACTTGACACCCTATAGTTTACAAATGAGTTGGTAAAAATTCAGCATAAATTCTGAGACTTCCCGGGGGTGGGGCACTAGCTGGTCTCCTAGGATTCACCCTGAAATCTTCCACAGCCCGTCGCCGATTCGGGGTCAGCCAGTGTGGTGGGCAGTGATGCCCTCATGAACTCCCCTTAAACCGGAGCTGAACTGCTGGCTCTTCTCTTCCAGAAGCAGATCTTTTTTCCTTTCTGGAAAATAACCGAGGAAAGTAAGACCCAGGGGAAACACCAGCTCTCCTTCCAGAACAGATGAGTGCGCGGCTGAAACAGCAGAGCAGGGTCTTCATCTCTGACGGCGTGTGACACCTGCCAAGCTGCGTTACTTCTCTGAGGCCCAGGGTTTCTCATCAGGGGAAAAAGGGCAATAAAGGGTCTATAAAAAATAAATGGTGATTGCTAGGGTTAACTTTTAAATGTCCTTTACATCTGTTAAATCGCGCTTACTTGCACATGTGCATCTCTTTCCCTGACACACTCCTGGCAACCTCAGTGTCTTGTAGTTTTTTAACCGACTCCTCTCTGCAGGCTGGTGGTAGTCCCCCTTCAGACGAGACTCCACTGGGTGTGATGTCAGTGGCCGCAGGACTGGGTTGTGGGTAGGACCCAGAGTCAGCTGTCAACACCAGCTCTGCCACACCGGGCAAGGTAGACTTCTAAGACTCTTTCCTCACCTGAAACGTGAATTGTTTTAGAGGCTTTTGTGAGAACTGAGATAACCTCGGCCAGTCTCAGCACCCTTCCTGTTCATACTAAGCGTTTGTGAAAACAGGCATTATCATCTCTCATTCCTCTCCAGTACAAATCTCAGGTCTCTGAAATAACTCAGACTTTGTCTCTTCCCTGAAGCTGTCTCGTGAAACACTGTTTCCTTAAACACAGTACGCAGGATCCCTGGTGTTCTGCCAGAGGACTTGAGGTGTAAACCGATGAGTATTTTATATAGGTAGAGATACATAGTAATTATTAGGGTATCTTCTGTGAATGGTAATTGGTCCTGGTTATCCTTTTACGCTAGCCCTTTACAGTGTATTGACATAAAAAGGATGGGAATGAATTTACAGAGAAACGATGGTTAAATAGAGGTACAGTAGGACAGGGGCTGTGACGGAATTGCAGGGGTGGCGTGAGTGACGGGCATGTTGGAGACAGTGTTAGACTTGCAGCCTGAAACTGATTTTTAGCCCAGCATCTTGTTGGATGTGGGACTTGGTCATTAGTGTGAAATGTGACTTTAGCACAGTCGTGCTCTGTGACTTTGGCAAGACGGTTAATCTTCACTCTCTCCTCCCTCCCTCCAAGCATCCCTCGAAGCCCCACCACAGTTCCTTGCCTCGGAGTGGAGGTGCTGCTGCCCGGGTTTTGTGCAGAGAAGGCACCGAAAGCATGAGTATCTCATCAGCTCGGCAGGTCTACGGAAGGGTGTAGAAGGGTGGTGCGTGCTCGTGAACTGTAGTTCTTGGGGTTACAAACGGTAGCATCCCCACTGCAGCCAGCTGGGACCGAAGGTGTTCACTGTCTCTGGCACGCAGTGTGCAGGAAGGTTATAGCAGCGACATGTACCGTGGGGCCGGCCGGGAGCAAGGATTCTGGCGCCACCAGGACCCTCTCCCCTCTTGTCGTGTTCTTCTGTCTGGTCAGGTTCTCTTACACATCTGGAAACATGACACGGCTGGTCCCCAGCCCATCTCGCCAGAAAGGGACTGCCCATTATGATCTCTGTTCCCAGGCCCAGAGGTCCGAGGAAGGACCTTGAGCCCAGCACAGACCTGGTGCCCACCTAGCCAGCCCTTGGTGTCCAGAGAGCAGGAGCCAAAGCAAGGGCGGCACCCAGGTGCACCCCCTGCCCACAGGGGGGAAGCCCGTGTTCCAGGAGCAAGGAGGAGGACAGAGGGCCGACGCCGTTGTACTAACCCCTTTCAGCTCGTGTGTGACCTTCCGGGAGAGAAGTACTTACCCTCTGCAGCTTCAGTTCTCTCATCTGCAGTGTTGAGGTTTAGATGGTGGGGTGGTCGTGAGTGCACGTTTACTCTGTTTAAATTCTGTGTGTCACTTTATTATCACTGCTGTTACCCCTCGTGCCCCCTCATCTCGACGCACCATCCAGGGCTTCGCAGCCTGTGGGTTCTGCATCTTACTGGGGAAGCAGAGAGGGGCACCTTATGTATATCTGTATTGAATACAAGCTTTTTAAAACTTGCTTTTGAAATGTAATGCGTGTTATGGAAACAGAACATATCCTGACACCCTAAGTGCACAGTTTGATGGATTTCACAAGCGGATGAACGCAATCGTGTGTTTATCACCTGGAGCGAGAGCGGCGGTGACAGCCCGCCCCTCACGTACGACTCGGGTGGACTGATGTCTCGATTTGTCACATGAGAAATCACTTGCAGGCGTTACCAGCACCACGGTAGCGTTTTCCGTGCTGTGCTGTTTTAGTAAATAGAATTTTAAAATACAATCGGCATTATGTCTTAAAATTTTTTTAGCACTAAAAAGAGATCCTCAAGTTTAAAAGTGTTGTGAAAAGCTCTTCCGGGCACTCTTACTTGTTAACAACCCCCCGAGTATTTTCCGTCTGGCTGACCTTGCCATTAGGTGATAGATAAGATGTGTTTTATTCCCTGGGTCCGTGCCATTCCTTCGTTAAGCTTGCCTTTCTCTTCCTGGGTTGAAAATTTCTCCTGGAGAGGCCCGGCCGGTGTGGCTCAGGGGTCGACCCTGCACCAAGAGGTCTCAAGTTCAATTCCCAGTCAGAGCACATGCCCAGGTTGTGGGCCCGATCCCCAGTGGGGGGCATGCAGGAGGTGGCCAGTCGATGTTCTCTCTCATCAATGTTTCTATCTCTCCCTCTCCCTTCCTCTCTCTAAAATCAATAAAGAAAAAACAAAAAAGGAAATTCTCCTGGAGAACGAGGCGCAGCCTGTGATTTCTCAGGTGTCTTGTATGTTCTCCCCTGGACATGGCTAAGGATGGAACAACTTTGTGGAGAGACTCTGCCTTTAACCAGAAGCCTAACTACTCAGATGCTGGCGCTCTCTGGAACGCTTCATTGGAGATAGAGATGTCGGTTTGCTGCTGCTGCTGCGGCCCTCGGCAAGCCAAACGCACTCGCCAGTGAGTTTTTATTTCTGCACTTACCAAGTTTTTTAACATCTTTCCCCCTGTTTTTCTCTTCCAGGCGCTCGACCAAGATAGGACAGCTCTGCAGAAGGTGAAGAAGTCTGTGAAAGCGATCTATAACTCTGGGCAAGGTAAGGCGGCCACCCAGCAGAGAACACGAACTGTGTTCAGTGTCTGCCGTTCTCTCTGCTGTTGGTGAGAAGCGGAGGTTCTAGAAGACTTGATCCAAATGGGAAAATCAGTAGGTCAAAGAAATCCCATTTTCCTCTGTCTCTTCTGTCACTCTACCTGTTACTGTTTCCAAAATAAAAAGAAAACATTGGTTGCAGTGGGTTTTATCATACATTTAAAAACTTGGTAGATGGAAGATCACCTCATAAGTTACATAAATGTCTAACCACGATGCTGTCCACTTGCAACTAACATAATATTGAATGTCAGCTGCAATTGAAAAGATGAAACATCTTGTTAAATACGTAGTAGAATCATAGGTGATTTTGCCACATATGAGATATTTAAAATCTCTGTGCAGTCGGACAAGCTATAATTCAGTGGCCTCAGTGACGTGCTTGAAGCTGGTTTCTTTCTGGAGTACGCCCGTCTGCACTTGAGAATCAGCGTAACTCAGAGAGGGGAGGGGCAACACCGCTGGGTGGAGACCAGAGCGGTCCTTCCAGCTTCTCCTTTCGAGGAGGGCCTGCCAGGTAACTCCATGTTTTTGTTTTGGGCCAGTGACCCTGTCACCTTGGAGACAAAAGTACAGTCAGTGGATAAGAAGAAGTAACCAAATTAAGATAAACAATGGGGAACCACAAGAAATGGTAGGTTCCCTCACCCCAGGGAAGGAGAGGCTTGTCTCTGCCTCACATCTTTTGTTACCATGATTGCAGGTCTCTTGCGAAATCAGTTGTCTGTAAGGGCACAGAGCCCGAGGGGAAGGCAGCAGGATCCAATGGAAAGGGCACTGGCTGGGGGTGGGTGGCAGATGGAGTTTAGCATGTTAGCCCTGCCCATAAGGTTACTTCACTTTTTTGAACATCCATTTTCTCCCCTGTAAAATGGGGATCGTGGTATGTTACAAGGTGGTTCAAGGGCTTTAATGGGCTCATACCTGCAAAGAGCCTACCACCGTGTGGGAGTTCAGTTAAGTGCCATCCATTTATATTTTATATAAATTTTATATTTTATTTATATTCATATTCATAATTGCCGTAAAATGCTATTGTCGGGAAGAATGCTGAATTAGGCAGAACGCGACGCTCAGCTTCCCTGCGGCCCTGCGGCCCTGCGGCCCTGCGGCCCTGCACCGAGCCGCACCGAGCGGCCCTCCCAGTCTCGGGCCTTCTTTGAAGCCCCTCGGCCTCTGACACTCTGTAATCTTACTTGTCAACACGCGTAATACCTGGTTCCTTGATACCTCTCTCTAATTTCTTTATATCCAATAAAACACTAACTTCTAATTAAGGTAGATAAATGACAGTTGTCTCGTTAGCTCTGCAGGACCAGCTGACCAAGTGTTGTTTTAAGTTTTGACCTAAATGATACACCCAATTTACAACCTTGTCTCCGCTTCATTGTGATGAACTCCCCAGTGGTTGGCCCTTGCTAGGTACTAGCTGTGTGGGGAGGAGAGGGCGTGAAGACCTGGGGGGGGGGGGGGCTTCGGAGGTGCTGTTCTTGTTCTCTTTGTTTTAATCCTCACCTGAGGATCTTTTCTTTTTCCCCATTTATCTTCAGATAGTGCTGGAGGAAGGGGGAGGGGGGAGAGAGAGAAAGAAACATCGAGAGAGACACCATGTGAGAGAGACACACGTTGACTAGTTGCCTCCTGCACAGCCCCGAGCAGGGCCGGGGATGGAACTGCAGCCAAGGTACATGCCCTTGGCCAGAATCGAACCTGAGACTCTTGTCCTCAGGCCGACGCTCTCACCGCTGAGCCAAACCGGCCAGGGCTGTTCTCTTTCTTGATTCGGGGATGCTTACATGGTTATGTCCACTCTTTGGTAATTTATCCAACGCTGACCTTAGGATTTATATACCTTTTCACATGTATGTAGGTATTTATGCGCTGCTAAGTGTATTTAAAATTTGTATACGAGTAGGTTCATTGAAGCATTGGTTATGATTTGGAAAAACAAATGGGGATGTGCTCAGTAAACAATAGTGTATGATATCACGGAAGACTATACAGCCTTTGTAAATTCTGGTAGTGTGGCCCAGAGCTGAATCCTTGCTTCGCCACCACTTGTTCAAGTCAAGAAAATGATTTCACTCCCGTGAGTCTCATTGCTTCCCCGTGAAGTGAGAAGATAATGACTAACTTGCCGAACACTGTCCAGGCAGAGTGAGGTCGTGGTTCAGGCCTCTAGGACGCCTGCGCAGGGTGGGTGCTGACCGCCTGGGGCCGGGCGGGGCCGCTGGAGCCGTGCACGGTCTGTCCCTCTGTGCAGGTAGCAGCGGGCCAGGCTGAGGCAGGTCCTGGAGAGCCTACCGAGCCGTTCCTGCTCAGGAGTAGGTGTCACTGCTCCATATTGTTACGTTCCTGCTCCAGGCTCTGCCAGCTGCCCTGTTGACTGCTTGGGGCTCCATGTGACTCCTCTTCCAAGTGTCCTTGCTCAAGACACACTTCCTCCCTTTGCCACCACGACCGCATCCTCCAGCAGCTCACACCGGCTGTTTGCTCTCGGCAGGTGCTTCACCTTGTGCTTTACGGGTTCCCTGGTCACATCTGTCCTGACCTTGGCAGGAGGGCGAGGATGGCCCAGGACAGGTGTGAGGGGAGAGTGCAAGGGCTCTGTGCAGTTTGGGTGCCATCCCCTCCTGGTTGGCCACAGCTGAGTGAGCTGTGACTGCCCCACCCCACCCTCTGCTGGCTTAGTTCTTGTGTCCTACACGCTAGGCCTGTGCCAGCTAATAAAGTACTTCTCGTCACAAACAGCTTTTTAAATTTAATCTGTTAAAATCAAAATGTAAAATTCAGGGCCTCAGTCTCAGTAGCCACCTTTTGTGCTCAGTAGTCAGCCGAGCCTAGCTCTGCAGGACCGGCTGCCACACGGGACGGGACGTTTCCACCGTCACAGGACAGCCTGCTGCCGCCTAGGGAGTGTGTCTCCCGTTGTGTCGTAAAGTCTCTCTTCGTTAGACCAGAAAGTCTCGGCCCTGGCTGTTCTTTAGAGTCACCCGAAAACTCAGCAAACACAAAGGCAGGGACCCCTCAGGCCCACACCCTGGAGTGTTCCACAGTAGGGCCCAGGTATTGGGGTTAAAGGGAATTCCTCTTCCATGTTCGAACGTGCAGCGGGAGTGGAGAGCTGTGCTCTGGCCTGTCAGCTCTGAGGGGGAGGTCCTGTGTCTTTCGTCTCTGTCCTCTGTGTTTGTCAGCGTAGTGTATCAGTGTGTTCAGCAGGTGTCCCTGAGCACCTGCGGCATGCTCCTGTTCTGGATGTGGCTGTGTGCGGCCGGCAGACTGAATCCCTGCCCCCTGAATTTTACATTCCCGTGGGAGGGAGATGTTGACAGGTCATCAAACCAGTCTTGTATGAGGAACTGGGAAGTGCTCTGCCGGAAAGCCTCCAGGGTTCAGGGGGAGATGACCAGAGGGGTCTGATGTAGCTTGAGTCGAGGGCTCCGAGGAGTACTTCTCGGGGCACCTGGCGTTGGCTGGGTGTTGGTGCTTCGCTGAGCTAAGCCTGACAAGCCTGAGGTGGTCCTGCTTGCCCCCACCTGTGAGGTGGTCCTCCATCATCCCACCTGTGAGGTGCTCCTCCACCATCCCACCTGTGAGGTGGTCCTCCACCGCCCCACCTGTGAGGTGCTCCTCCACCATCCCACCTGTGAGGTGGTCCTCCACCATCCCACCTGTGAGGTGCTCCTCCATCGGCCCCACCTGTAAGGTGGTCCTCCATCGGCCCCACCTGTGAGGTGCTCCTCCACCATCCCACCTGTGAGGTGGTCCTCCATCGGCCCCACCTGTGAGGTGCTCCTCCACCATCCCACCTGTGAGGTGGTCCTCCATCGGCCCCACCTGTGAGGTGGTCCTCCATCAACCCCACCTGTGAGGTGCTCCTCCATCATCCCCACCTGTGAGGTCGTCCCCCACCAACCCCACCTGTGAGGTGGTCCTCCACCGCCCCACCTGTGAGGTGGTCCTCCACCATCCCACCTGTGAGGTGCTCCTCCATCGGCCCCACCTGTAAGGTGGCCCTCCATCGGCCCCACCTGTGAGGTGCTCCTCCATCATCCCCACCTGTGAGGTGGTCCTCCACCATCCCACCTGTGAGGTGCTCCTCCATCGGCCCCACCTGTGAGGTGGTCCTCCATCGGCCCCACCTGTGAGGTGCTCCTCCACCATCCCACCTGTGAGGTGGTCCTCCATCGGCCCCACCTGTGAGGTGCTCCTCCACCATCCCACCTGTGAGGTGGTCCTCCATCGGCCCCACCTGTGAGGTGGTCCTCCATCAACCCCACCTGTGAGGTGCTCCTCCATCATCTCCACCTGTGAGGTGCTCCTCCATCATCCCCCCTGTGAGGTGCTCCTCCATCATCCCCCCTGTGAGGTGCTCCTCCATCATCCCCACCTGTGAGGTGCTCCTCCATCATCCCACCTGTGAGTTGGTCCCCCATCAACCCCACCTGTGAGTTGGTCCTCCATCATCCCACCTGTGAGGTGGTCCTCCACCGCCCCACCTGTGAGGTGCTCCTCCACCATCCCACCTGTGAGGTGCTCCTCCATCATCCCCACCTGTGAGGTGCTCCTCCATCATCCCCACCTGTGAGGTGCTCCTCCATCATCCCCCCTGTGAGGTGCTCCTCCATCATCCCCCCTGTGAGGTGCTCCTCCATCATCCCACCTGTGAGGTCGTCCCCCATCAACCCCACCTGTGAGGTGCTCCTCCATCATCCCACCTGTGAGGTGGTCCTCCATCATCCCCCCTGTGAGGTGGTCCTCCACCGCCCCACCTGTGAGGTGGTCCTCCATCATCCCCACCTGTGAGGTGGTCCTCCATCATCCCACCTGTGAGGTGGTCCTCCATCATCCCACCTGTGAGGTGGTCCTCCATCATCCCCACCTGTGAGGTGGTCCTCCATCATCTCCCCTGTGAGGTGCTCCTCCATCATCCCACCTGTGAGG